ACTGCCAATCTTAGCAGTGGAAAAAGAGAACCTAGTGGGTGGGTGAGCCAGCCTTCAACCAACTCTCTTTCTCACTTTCAATCCCTTCTTCTAGTCTCACCAAGGAACACCGGTCAGTGGAGTCATTAGCCTAAACCCCCGCACACCAGGAATGTCTACAGTGAATGAAAAACAACAGCAAAAAATTTTCAAACCCCTCTCTCCGGAAGACCATTCAGATACTCCATCAAAAGGAGCGATGGAGCCATAAATCAGACTTCAAAGATTGTTCCCCCTTCAAGTCCCTTCAGATCAGCTTTTGAAATGCTGCTTCACTGCCGCACCATGAATGATGGTGTGTGTATTTCTGTCACAATGACAAACGGTGACTTTAGCTTCCATCTCAGGCTGATACTCGACTGTACAGAATTCAGAGAATCGGATATTGGTAAAAATCATAGAAGCACTGCAGCAAAGAAAAAAATTAATGCCTTGTTTTGGGAAAAGACATTTATTTAATCAGATTTGACTGGCAATTTTAAACATGCACTTTTTTTAGTCCCAAAGATCAATGCCCTGAAAGATAGTGTTGGCTGCTGAGTGGCAAAAGTTGCTCATAGGAGGAATTAGTTTTTTGCTACTTGAGTCACAGAGCAAGGAACATCTCTACCTGAGCATTTGTTAACAGTAGAACAAGTCAACAAACACTTTTTCTGACACAGTTCTTGAAATTCTTACTACACACCAAACTATTCAGTAACAACTTACAATGTTAACCACAGTGTAATAAGGGCACATTTAAAATGTCAATGTTAATGTTAATGTTAAGAAATACTGAAATGATAACTGATAATATTTACAAGTCATTATTAAAGTTCTACATTATGTTTATTTATAACATTATAGTTTGTATAAGAAAAAAATAGAATTAATTTTAACATGTGGTATATTGTATTGTATTGTGTATCGTACTGCAGCTTTATTTATAGAGCGACAAATCACAGCAACAGTTGCCTTAATGTGCTAGAGATTATGACAATTATATAACAATTAAATCCTTGCATTTACATTTTTTTATGCTATACCATAATCAACAATTTTATGATAAAGGTTTAATTTCTGACCTGTTCTCATTCCTGGGGGATCAAATATTGATGCTTTAGGCACGTGCGCTTTGAAGATTCAGTGTCAGTGCTGTGGGAATAGTGAGACCAACACCCCTGACTTTGGCCGTATGGTGAACCAAAGCAAGTCAAGACTGTCTAAGAATAAAAGGAAACTAAATACTTAGTAAACATTTACAAACCAATATCATCAGCAGACACTTTACAGCTACCACCAGACAATGTCCTCACATGTACCACTGACCTACTATTATAAATTACCATTATATTGTTGGTGCACAATAAAAAAAACTACCAAGTTATTATTTAGTAATAACCAACAGTCCTCCTCCTTCTTCTTCTTCTTCTTCTTCTTCTTCTTCTTCTTCTTCTTCTTCTTCTTCTTCTTCTTCTTCTTCTTCTTCTTTTTACCTAGTAACATCCACAATGTTTTCAGGAGATAAATAAAATGATATATTTCAAAGGTCCTGGAATATAATGAGTGCATAATGGGATTTTTTTTAATATGTCCTGGAGCTGTAAAAGCTAACAGAGGGGCAACACTAAAAAAATGAGTTTGCTGACTCTATTGAATTGTTTTCTGTTCAGCGTGTTTCCTGGGACATGCAAACACAACACCGGCTGCCGTTTTTTGAAAGTGATGCCTGTGATCTTGGCTGTGAAACCTCTATGAGAAATCCCCCTGTTTACTTTAATTACCATATTTGTCAGCTTTGTCAGATATCACAATCGAGATGCTGGAATTTCCATGTTTTCTACCGCCGCTGGGATTTCAACAATCCCCTCGCTTGCTGTAAATAAGGCACGCTCCATCAGTATTTTGACGGTATTATTAGGCGCTCAGCATTGCTTTGCCTTTAACGTGTCTTTGAGTGGCTGTTGTTGAGGCAGTACACTCACATCGCTGTGGTGACGGCCCCGCGAAAACAATCTTTCTTTGTGACAAAGCCACACTAATCCCACTGTTTGAAACATGTAAAGTGGGGCCTCCTACAGTCAGTGTGAGCCAGAGAGAGACTTTCATCTGAGTCTGTTCCACCTACAGTCAATGTGTCTGTGCTCATATTGTGCTCTTACACATATGTGAGTAAATATGTGTAAATATGTTCCTCCCACTAAGTTATGTGTGTGCTGTGGCCTGTGTGGGTAGAGGATTCGATTTTAGAGACGGCAAAACCACAGTGGAATGATGTGGAGAAGATTTGAAGGATCATTTACGGTTCCAGAGTTTGGCCAGTAAAGTCACCTCTGGAACTACCCTGCTTGGAAAAGTAGGACAGTGGTGGACTCTCCCTAATGATCTGTCTGTCACAAATGTATGTGGTCTCCCATCAACCCTGCATGGCATGTATAGCTTCATTCCCCTCAGTTTTCACTTTCATGTTTAGAAATATTTGTGTCTTTCCAAATGATGGGCTGAAAGACTCTTTTCTTTTCTGTTTTCTCATCTCCTCACCACTTCTACATCCTCTACTTCATGTTTTATCTCTTTCCTCCCCTCTTTTTTCTCTAGTCCACATCCAGACATGCCGGGCCCTTATGGTGGTGTCAGTACTGCTGGGCTTTATTGGGATCATTGTCAGCGTGGTGGGCATGAAGTGTACCAAGGTGGGAGATAACAACCCAGCCACCAAGTCCCGCATCGCTATGACTGGAGGAGCACTCTTTCTGCTTGCAGGTGCAACTGTTGTTTTGCTTCATTTACCAGCATAAAAAGACGCTGTATTTCTGGCATTCAATGCATTTAGCAAGAGTGGTCTGGCATTTTTCTTGCAGTAGGGGTCTTCTGGGTAATTGGAGTCCCTGCTGTAAACAGGAAGTGGTCATTTTCGAGGCATTAGCTCTTGACCTCAGACCACAATCCCAAGGAAAGAAATTAAACTAAACAAGTATTTACTAAGCCAAGCCATTGGTGTTGTTGTAGCAACAGAATTAATTAGTGTAGTAAACTGACAGATAAGATAAAATAAAACATTAGGAAAAAATGACAGAAATTTCTGTGTATGTAAGCTGTGTATGTGCATCTCTCTCCACACACACACACCTTCATTCCAGTCTTTCCTTCAGGTGAACACCTAAGAACCTGTAGCTATCCGTTGTTTCAACCTCCTTCCCCCTTGGGCCTTTTCTTGGGTTTGTTTTTTTTTTTTCCCTAGAAGAAAAAAATTCCTTTGTCTCACTGACATTCAGAAAGAGGTGATTTCTGCCAGACCACCCTGCAAAGCACCTTGCCTGCTCCCTCTACTCCAGTTCCTGTAGTGTCATCAGAAAAGTTCTGCAGGTAGCATGGTCCTCACCTGTTTCTCCCTCCACAGGTTTATGCACACTGGTTTCTGTGTCCTGGTATGCCACTCAGGTGTCCTATCAGTTCTTTAACCCAAACACACCACCCAATGCCAGGTATGTGAATCATATTGTGATACACTCCTTTCTGTTTGAGCTGAGAGTTTAATCTCTTCATTAAAGAGCAAAAAACACCATAATCAAGTTGCGACTGCTACAATACTGTCGGTGTATTCAAAACCTGGAAGTATCAGATCTCGAATAAATATCACAATATCATACAATGAGATTGCAATGTTTGCAATAGTTTAATATTTCTTTAAAATGTTGTTGAAAAGAAAAATGCAGAGGTGGAAAACATTAAGTAGCCTGAATAAAAGATACCTGACAGTGATACTGTTTTCATTGGTCTAACACTGTTTTCAGTTATCACGCTGTTGTATTTGTGCTCAGTCTTCTTATTTTTTTGTTTGTTTGTATATTTAAAAATGTCATATTTTAGACTAGTCAAGAGGTTTTGTTGTGCATAGAAGAAACAGGCATAAGTAAGCAGACTTCATCTCAAAGGTTTGAGGGACAATTAACATGATGTGATAAACTGGAACTACAGCCAGTGACAAAGATTCTGCAGTCAAATTACTGTTAAACTTAACGTGTTCTGTTTACAAAAACCACCTAGATGTGGCAAATAAAAATAATTAGGACTAGTTGCAGACACGACTGTTTTCAGCTGCTAATATCTGTATGACATATTCGTCTAAAATAGCCAATGTTACTGGTTGATGTTAAAAAGATGAGTTTAGCTGTAAACTGTAGTTATTACTAAAATAGTCAACATCTGTCGCCAATAGTTGCTAATAATGGCTGAAAAATATGACCAGTTGGTGATACAAATCACAAATAAACAATAATAGCTAGTTAGCTGCAAACATTTGGTTGGTAAGGGAAAAACCATTGATTAATTTAGCAACATCATTTCCAAATATTTGATAATTTTGGCTTAGAAATATGATCAATGTGCGATGCTAATAGTTCCCAGTTATGAAAAAAAAAGGAAAAACAAATCATTTAATGCTAGTAGTTGTTACTTTTATCAAGTATTACAGCTGTAAAGCTCCTCTTATGACTAATGTGTATGCTAATGGTTAGTCTTGAATATCTAATAATTAAAATAATACATTTTTTATCCATTTTATATCGCCCACACTTCAATATCCATTTATCCTTTATTTTGTGTATGTCTTTTTATGTCAGCATTTACACCTTATGCCTTGTTTATGCCTTGTTTCCTGTGCAGGTATGAGTTTGGCTCAGCCTTGTTTGTTGGATGGGCAGCAGCCAGTCTGACTGTTCTGGGTGGCTCTTTGCTGTGCTGCTCCTGCTCCAAAGAAGATATGCGAGGACAGCAATATTACCGCCAATCACAGCCTTCCACAGCAAGGGAGTACGTGTAAACCCCAACCCCTTCCAGCAGTCACCCAAACAGAGAGCAGAGGACACGCTTGGCACCACCCTCTTTTTTCCCCTTGTAAATCTAACAAAAAGACTATCATGCATACACACATGCAATCATTTAGCTCAAAGACACTTCTTATCTTACACAGCAATACACGATATATGAAGTTGTACATATATGAGCATATTATCTACCAGTAGGATGTATGTGGCTATGAACCTAAAGAAGTACAAACTTATACGTAGAAAGTGTTAAGCTTGTATTGTGAGTTGACATCTCCTGCTTGTCATGATTTAATGTACTTTAAGAGGTAAGTACAGCGATACGATGAACACAAATTTAAGCACGGTACAGAAAAACATCGTTTGGAGCAAATTACACAGCAAATTAAAGGGCATTTCTTATCTGAGGAAGTACTGCAAAACTTGCTGAACTTTTACTAGCATGTCCTGTGCTTCCTGGTTGGAGCTGCATTGGTGTTTTACCTCCAAATTGCAACGTATGTTCACAGTCTACTGTTGCAGTTAAGTGTGTAAGGGGACAAGGCCTGACCCTGTGTGCAAATGAGAAAAAAATTATTTCAATTTGTAACTCACAGAGTTTAGAGCTCTAAACCACCAAACCTTTTCTATCTTTGTATAGAATTCAAAACAAAACAAAGAATTTCTATGTTCTTAATTTATTTATTTAAGCTGTCGAGTGTTATTCAAACAAACACAATGAATGACAGTAAAGAAGCAGGCGTGTCTGGTGTCCTCCTAAGTGAGGAAGCCCCTGGACAACCATCTTATTAACAGCTGAGAAAATTTCTCACATATGGTAAAACTACACAGTCCTTTTTTACACCACAAGGACTTGATGAAGATCGCACATGCAGACACAATCTGAACTGCAGCAGTGGAGGGTGAATTGTTAGTTAAAGGTGTCTGTTTAGATGTGTAATGAGTATGACTGCTGCTGATTATCGCTCTTCCATTATACTTAACACGAGGAGAAAGAGGAGACTGTCATCGACACATATCATCACGCTCCATTTACTAACACCATCAGTCCAGATTCATACACTCCCTCATCTCATAAGCTGTTGTATAACTAAACCAGTGCCTAAGATCTAAGCTATTCACACACATGAATAATCTTACTGAGAAGCTAAAAGATGTCAGCATACTATTATCTTTATATAATTTAGCATGATGAAGTGTTATATTTAACTCCACTGTTTGGTTGATTGCATATAGAAAAAACAGGTGGTCTTCAACCCACCGACTACTCATTGAAGGTGAGGCACAATAGATACTTGCAGCTATCGCCACATTAGACCCTTTAAAACTCAGCTGCTGCTAAATTGGCTCTTGAGTTCTCCCTTCATGCTCCCACATCACTTTGCCCCCATTTATGTTTCTAAAAGAGTTGGTCCATCACTGTTCCACATAAAAAAGCCATTAACTTTTCTTAGAATAGGTCCCAGTTGCCCCATTTCCCAGTTACATGGCTTCTCTTCTTAGAAGAGACTTATTTGTGGAGAGCTCTATTATTCTCAAACTTGGCAGGTGGACGGTGAAGGTCTATAGGAAATTCTTTGTACTTGTACTAAATAAAATGAGATGTCAATGGGATGTCAAGCATCTCTGCTCTGCTGTCGTAGCGACTGTGACATCTCCCCATTTCTATATGACTGGAAATGAGCAACTAGGCCTATAAAGCCAACAGACAAGTGTTTACAGAGGTAAAGTCTGAAAGCCCTTTTCCCAGACACCTCTATGGAGGGAAGACTTTTATGTTTTTGCAGCTTCGAGTATGTCTCTTGTGGCAGAGAATGCAGGATTAAGGCAGTTCCACATCACCCCAGACAACCGTATAGCTGTTCATTGACTCTATATGTTTCTGCCCACCTTTATTAGTCATTCTGTAGGGTAAATGTTCTATTTTAACCCGAACAGTGCTAGCCAGCTTCCATGTAACACTGATTCTGAAACCTGTCGGCTAACATCTCAGTCATCCCTCTGGCTCTCTAACATGGTGGGAATCTGAGAGTTCTTGATGTGTCTTATCCTGACTGTCTTCTTCTCTCCTCTAATTCAGGGCAGAGTTGTTGAGTGAAACTAGTTTCCCTGACTGATCAGCCCCCGCCTTTTTATCGAGGACTTTCCGACTCTCCCACCACTGTCTCCCCATCCCCCCTTCTTTTCCTGTTACCTCTTTACCTTCCAATTTGGACCTCTTGTAGATGATTTCCTTTTTCTCAATAATACATCTGCACCTTATCACTTTTAATGGGAACCAAGGTGTACTGTCTTCTTCCGACCCCCTCTCCGTCTCTGAGCCGTCTCTGTAAATATGGACTCATGTGGTCAGACGTTTTCTTTAAGAAATAAGATACCAACCCTCTGCTACACCTCCTGTTCCCCCTTCTGTCCAAATATTGGTGCAAAGTTAACAATAAACTGAAACATACTGTTGTGCTGATTCGTAGTTTCACTTACAGCCTATGACCTCTGGGTGTTTTTGTAAATGTGAGGTTTTTTTCTTGTCGCTGTGACTGAAACGTGTCTTTTTTCCCTTTTGAATTGCAGACCAAATGTTAAAAGTACCCCACCAGAGAAAAGGGAGCAGTACTTGTAGTTTGGGAGAGTCTTCTGGCCCTACCATGGTTTAAATTCTGTCAACAGACAAAACCCTTTCACTGAGAAATTCAAAACAGACAAGAATGAATTTATGAACAGCAAACACTCAAGCATATTGCAACAACATATATTAATCTTTGTTGAGATTAATGAAATTGTTTGGGGAAATGTTTTATGAATTAGATGTACTTAGGGGGTTTGACATCCTCATCTGTGTTGTTGACTCTGGGAGAGACAGTCATTCAGGGTATGTTTTCTATAACATGTTAAAAAACCCAGGTGTATATACCACCAACTTTACTCCTTTTTTTTTTTTACTACATATAATGTTTTACTACAGTGCCTTATAACACATGTTTGCACACATGTATGTGAATTCTCTGTTTTCCATCCCATCTGAGGGATGTGTGTCCACAGCTACTCTGCAAGGACTTGTGTTTCCCTTTGTTTCTATTGTTGGAGTTCCAAAAACGAATGTGAAGCTACTCTACAGTACCACTTATGAACAAAAAGGACAAATACATGATAGATCTGCCACGTGTTGCCTTATGCCACTGTAAACTCTGTGCCTGTTTCCAAATAGTCTGGGCTGAGGATATACCAAGTGCATCCATTGTGTATCGTCAGGTGCCAATATGATTTTGTGTGAATGGAAGAGTCGTCGTATTATTGACTCTTAAGGACGTACTGTATTGTGTGCTGTCTCCTGTACTAAGGAATGCCAGTTTGCTGAGAGTTAAAATGCCTGCATTTATTTACCATGCCTTTCTTTTTCTCTAATATTTACCTCCTTCATGTTGTGTATCATCTCATTTACCTGTATACCCGTCTGTTTCCTTTAGAATGAAGTAAACAGAGATGGAAAAATGGATTTGGCTATGACTCAGTACTTTATCAGTTGTTTCCCTACTTTTCACCCTTGCCTGACTTTTTGCCCACTCCCCCCACTCATTCCTCCATTCCAGCTCAAATCCTTCTTTTGCACCCTGTTGTTCAATAATTGCAGATGTGGAATTCCACTTCTGCTCCACTGGACTGAAGCCTTGTTGGTGCTGTGCTGAGCAAGTTAACCTTGCGAGTCCACCTTTGAGAATGTCTGGTGTTGTAGAGTTTGAGCTAGAAAACATTTTAAATTGTGATCTTGGCTAGAATTACTGGATAAGAGCGAGGGTTGTGCTTTTTCAAGTACTATTTTAATACGATATGCACATGTCTGTAAACATTACTAATTGTTCTGTTTTTTGTTATTGCTTATTTTGCTTTTGCTTTCTATGAAGATTAAGTGTTTTTGTAAACAGAAGATACAAACTTCACAGTTATGATTTTGGAGAAATAGACCCGGTGAAGTTTAGCCAAAGCTCATGCAAGATTTTGAGTCTCTGGGCTAGAATATCCAAATGGCAGCCTTCCAAAGTGTGTCTCTTTCAACCAAATGACCAAAAAGGAACGCTAACAATTCAATTCAATTCAATTCAATTCAATTCAATTCAATTCAATTCAATTCAATTCAATTCAATTCAATTCAATTCAATGTCATTTATACAGCGCCAAACACCAACAACAGTCCCCTCAAGGCTCAATAATACATACAGAGAAAAACCCAACAATCATTTGACCCCCTATGAGCAGCACTTTGGCGACATTGGGAAGGAAAAACACCCTTTTAACAGGAAGAAACCTCCGGCAGAACCAGGCTCAGGGAGGGGCGGGGCCATCTGCTGCGACCGGTTGGGGAGAGAGAAGGAAGACAGGATAAAAGACTTGCTGTGGAAGAGAGACAGAGATTAATAACACGTATGATTCAATGCAGAGAGGTCTAACAATCAGTCATTATCTGGATGATGGAGTATCTGCAAGGAGCCAGCATGGTATGGTAAACTTATAGAAAGATTATGGTTTTCAGTACTGAAAAATTGTTACGCTTTTTTGGTCGTTAATAATAAAAAGTCAATCTGTGAATGTAATGGTGGTGATCAGACAACATTAAATCCTGTGTGCTTCATGCCCATCCACCATCCCAACCTCCACCTCATCTGCAGTTCTTGTACTGGCCCCAAAGGATGGCTTTGGATATTACTCGTGACCAGTGAAGTCATTCACAGAGGTAACAGAGGAGAGCTAAACTGTGTAATAGCCTTTGTTCATGTTTTGGTCAATCGTGTTTTCTTGCCAAGCTGCATAGGGTAAAAAGAGGAAACCGTTGGCAGAAGAGACTGAAAAATATAAATCCGGTGAAAGAAAAGGTAAATCAACAATACCTTGATCTGATTTTTGTTAAGAACAAAAGCATTTTTCTAATTTAACACACCAGTTAAAACTAATTCTCCATAGAGAAGACTGTGGAGATGTCCAATACAATCTACTGCTGAAAAATTAAATATCCAACTCTTGTGATCTAAAAAAGTCAAGGTTTGATCAGGTTTAATTAAATTAAATAACATTAAGTTTAGGCAGAGATCCTTAATTGGCCTCAAACAGAATATGAGGTAACTGTTTAACAGAAGAAATTGTTACAAAGAGAGGATTTTTCATACAATTGCAGTCATTCAGAATAATATGATACCTTTACATTTCAATATAAAAGTACCAATTATCAAAACAATTTATTTTATGTCCAGTTCTGTAAGCATGGATTTCAAAGAGTCTAATACCTTCTCTGATTAAAATACTAGTAAACTATACTCCATATATATTGGGACCAAAATTCAGTTTAACTATCAGCTAACTTTAGCAAGCTTGTTAGCAAGGTAATCCATAAACTTAACAAGTTTAAGTGCAAACCAAAGATAACTTATTTAGAATACTAAATACTAAGAGCTAATAGAATACAAAACTTTCTCTCACCAAAAGAAGAAGCTTCTTGGACTCTACTGATAGTCAGATATTTTTTTAAAAATCTCCCTAAAGCTGCTGTCAGCAATGGTGACAGAGAAGTTCAGCTCAGTAACTCCAAAAAGCAGAGGTGCTATTTTGAAAGACACCTGACTATCTGCTGTATCCCACAACTTTGAGCCTTGCCAGTTCCCAAGATAAAAGTTAAATCATTCAAACCATTATGATTGGGGGAATTACCTACACAACCAGTACTTTTGTAAGAAGTTGTAAACATTTGCTAAAAATATTTTTGCTAAAAATGTTGGTCATTTATAAAAAGGATTCTATGGGCAGTGACTTTTTCCCCGCAACTTTGGCACAATGATGACCTCAAAGGGTTGAAATGGCCATAAACCTTCCACACATGCATGGATGTGAGGTTGCTATTAAGTAGGAAATGTACTTTTTTGAACAAACTTGTGCATGTGTAAAATGACATGCAGAGACCTACAACAACAAGAACAATGCAGAACGACTGAACCCCTTAAGCAGTGACAGGCTCGTAAAAGATGACGAGCCTGTTAAAGCTCGTTAAAGCTGCAGAACGACAGCTGGATCATGAGCTTGTGTACGGAACCAGAATAGTGCAGTTTGAGGTAAAACACACACACTGAGGAGAGAAGTGGTGAGAGCAGAACGTGAAATCTAACACGTGCCTGGCATTTACGGATGCACCAACACTACCTGCGGCTGTGCGGTCTGTATCCCATTAACAACATGCAAAAACACACAGAAACATTTGCCTCAGCTGTGTATGTACAGGAGCAGTTTTATGTGAGTTATAGCACGTTCATAAAACTCACAATAAACACGTGTATAACTGTGCGTGTTTGGCATTTTTCTGCTAAGTTTATGAGATGACTTATTGTCTGCTTCTTCATAAATCTTCACTGACCTACTTATTAATTTAAGCACAATACAGAGGTTACATGATGAACCCAATGAACTGATGTTTGCAGTAATAACCAAAGAATTATAGTAAACACAGGAATGCGTTTTCCCACTCTGAATGATGGATGGTGCCTCGCACATGTGTGTTTGATTGGGACTTGAAAAATGTGGTAATTCAGGAATGTGAAAATGGAAACTATCTCTTTAACTGCCTAACTGCAAACATCATTGCAACAATAAAACATGTTTTCATCGTGAGCCTCACCATTCATACCGAGGAAGAAGATAAAAGTGGATATCAGTACTTGACTGAGCAGCAGCGGGGTGTTCAACAACAGTTCCAGTGAATGTTTGCAGACAGGTAGAGCGCTGATGAAGAGGTTGTTAATCACAATAAGGTTTGCATCTTTAAATTTAAGTCTTGTCGTTGTAGTGTGAAGATGACATGCTGTTTTCTGGTTAAGGGAGTCTCTGACATAAGTATATGACTATGGGTGAAGTCAGACAGCAATACCACACTTCCCACCATCAACCACTACGAGGTCCAAGCTGAGATGTTATTCAAGGCCTCTGCAAGGCCACCAATCAATCAGGAGATAAAGTAGACTATAAATGTTTGAATATGACTTACGGGATTGAAAAAAAGTTTTATCTATGATCCTCTCCATTTCTTTCAGTGATGGCATTATCATAAATTCAGGATGTGCAAGGAAAAATGGAAACCGCTGTTTCAAAGGAACACCCTACCTTGAGTCTGGATTTCTTAAACAATCGTTTGTTAGCACCATTAAACTCATGCTACCGGCTGGTATTCTCAGCCTGTATGAAACCTTTTTCTGTGAATTCATCCGCCTGCGAGCTCAGTCTCTAACTGGACCAAAGCGCTTTCAAGTTCTTTTAGCTTGAGTTGGCAGGTCTGTCTGTGAGCTTCACTTTGTGTCTGGCAGCAAAGCACACTGGGAATGACACAGACCCAGGAGCTGAGGACCGGTTTAATAATTCACAATGCTCCTATTACAGCGTGAGCTCAAGTCAAAGAGATGCATTTGTTAGTTTAGTGCCCAAAAAGTGATGTTTTTGTGCACTTTTATATTTAGTGCAATATATGCTGTAGTTTTTAAGATGGGAGAACTGTTTGTAATAACAGATGATATGCTCGGCCTTTGTGAATGGCAATCTTAGCAGAATAGGTGAATGAGGCAATCCTCAGTAGACGAAACTTTCAGCTTTATGATTTTACAGGATCTGTAGGTGCATCTCCAAAGTGTGGGTGTTATGTACATTTACACTTGTAATGCAAGTGATTGTTAAAGTTGAAAACCCTGATAAAATCCTATAGTGTGACCGTGTGATGACACCTACTTCCTGTCTGTATTTGGTGTAAATATCCGCTCCATGCCACAACAGGCTCCCTGTACCAGAAGCACCCGAGAGAAACACACCCATACAAGCCAAACCAATCCACAGATTTGAGTTCAGACTATCAGAAGAGAAAACTAACTCAAACTGCTTCTGGCTGGATCTGATTAGGAGTGTTTTTCAAGAGCAGTGTCTGCAGTACTAGCCTCCAAACAGACAGAGGGTGCCAGAGACCTGCAGCAGCCTGGCACACCAGGAATCAGTGTAGTGCACTTCAAGCGGGGTATCATGATCGGGACAGAGGCCAAAGTCAACACGCACATCCCCACCAATGCTAATCTCATCACTATCATGTCAACTGTGAGAAAAAGAGAGGAAAAAGTCACACAGCAGGAGATCCCTGCTAACAACTAATGACTTTAACGTTGTTGGAGCCTTTGTAACATCTATTCTGGAACTTTGCCAGAGCAGCTGTTGTAAATGTACCTGAGCTTCATGAGCAGTAAAGGCTGCTTTTTCTTTTTTCTTTTATGCCAGCAAAGATCCTGAAACAAGAGCAAAACAACATCACGTGTGCCTGGCAGGTTATCCATGTAGTCCAACACACTTTCCCCAAAGACCAATGAGGTAAGTGCCTCTTTAGATCCTTTCTTAATCAAAGGAAAAGTTATGAAACTGCAAATAGTAACACAAGACATGTGACGTTCAATAACATTGTCTCAGAGTTTGTCAGTAGTGCAGCCTG